GGCTACTTCTTCCAGGGGTTGCAAGCTCTTGAAACAAACGACATAGTCACAGTTTCGTCTTGGTCATTCTCAACTGCTGGTGCTGCCTCTGCTTCAAAAGGCCTGAATTTATACTTCTTGGCGATTGCAGGCCCATTTGTGATTGCTGGAGCAGCACTTTTGATTTTTCGAACACGAAGAAGGCAGCTGATGAAGAAGAAGGTGTTGCAGAGGTCGGCTTTGCTAGCTGCCAACATTCCGATAAACTACACCTTCAAAGAGCTGCGATCTGCAACAGCTGACTTCAAGGAAGTTCTAGGCAGAGGTGGAACCAGCACCGTCTACAAGGGGTTCCTGCAAAATACACCAACATCAAGGATAGAAGTCGCAGTCAAAGACCTTCAAAGCAATTCACCTGATCATGAGGCTGAGCAGCAGTTCCGGGAAGAACTCAACATGATCAGCAGGGTAAGGCACCAAAACCTGGTCGCGCTCCAAGGCTGGTGCCATGAGCACGATAAGCTCCTCCTCGTCTACGAATGCATGTCCAAAGGAAGCCTAGACAAGGTACTCTTCACAAGCGCTTCGGGTTCAACTAATCCGCTATCCTGGAACCAAAGATTCAATATCATCAGATGTGTTGCAGAGGCGCTAAGATACCTGCATGAAGGGTTGGAGAAGCGGATTGTTCACAGGGATATCAAAGCGGCAAATGTCCTGCTGGATGAAAGAATGACTGCCAAGATGGGGGACTTCGGCCTAGCCCGGTTGATGCAGCACACAATCGGCTCTCAAACGATGACCAGGGCGGGAACATTGGGTTATATCTCACCGGAGCTTGCTTATAGTGGAAGAGCCACTGAAAAATCCGACGTGTACAGTTTCGGGATTCTTGTACTCGAAATTGTTGCTGGAAGACGCGCTGTCGACCACAGGTTTGCTGGTGACACTAAGATGGTGCTCTTGGAATGGGCCGGAACACTGAGTCAACCCGCAGAACTTGTTGATCCAAGGATCCAAGATGGAATTGATATGAAGCAGGTTGAGAGAGTAATTCAATTGGCCCTAAGATGCTGCTCTTGGCATTCGGAGGAGCGGCCGACGATGAGGCTGTGCTGCCAAGTCTTGAGTGGTGAATCAGAGCTGCCAAATTTGCCGCTTGCAGCAAACACAGACATTGTCGTTACAAGTGCTGAGATTCCCGAAGATTACGATTCGAAGTCTTCTTTGCACAGTACAAGCAATGCCTCTGACGATGTCAACCTAAACAGATTCCACGCGTGATTTCAGAAGCTTGGTTGGGCAACGTGCAAACCCGCTGTCAGGAGGTATAAACGAAGTTATTGCACCAAATTACATTCACAAGACTTATTACTTGAAAGCTTAAATAATTCCAAGAAATGCTATATATATATTCTTTCAAGGTTTCTAAGCTCAAAGTTTTCAGCCCAGCATGACTGGGACGAGGAACTGGTTTTTAAACCTTGAAAATTGTTTAAATCCCATTCTTGTTTAGCTGACGAGAAAACAAACCGATTCTTGATTCTTGAAACTTTTCTGCAGCGCATTGCTCCAACACACTGCAGAAGATTCAAGATTCAAGAATCGCTTCATTCATTCCAATTATCACCGAGAAGAGAAATCTCAAGTTCTAAAAATTCACAAGCGGCAGCTCTCCATCAAGCTGTCTTGGCCGTTTTGGTAACTGGCTGCTCGCCACCAGCAGCGAGCAAAAACAGCGGAGCCAAACAGAGCATCCTGCTCATGAGCAGACCTTTGTTGCTCCCAGCGGTGCCGTTGCTATCGGATCCAACAGAGCTGCTCTGTCTGGTTTTCTGATAGTTTTCCTTTCGTAGCAGGGAAGATATCCTCTTCCCAGCCAAGAGTACAACTTTTTGGCTCCACGTTGGTGATGGCAATGGTGGCAGTGGTGGCGGTAGTGTTCACGGCATTCATGCACATGATCACAAACAAATGCCGAGCATGCATTGATCAGTCCCAAGAAAGAGCCCCAAATTATTTCAAGCATAGAATGAGCTTGCAACTAATTAAACCAACATGGGCTTATATACAGCCAGGATTATAGTTTGAAGTGCGAATATTCTAAGGGAACCCGGTCAAGATCCATATTAATATAATCTACTATTATAGGGGAACTTTGTGATCTGCCGGATCTGGATTAACACCGTTGGATGCTGAGTAATTCGGTAAATATCAATTTTCTATTGTGAGTCCTTTCGAAATATTTTTGCGAAATTTGGCCGGGCAGTGAGCGCGTGCTAGGGGAGGAAGTGTTCGTTTGAACTCTCTTTTTACCGCAGCTCCTCAAGTTTCCAAGGAAGTGGGAGAGGAGGCGGCCGCTGACCAGCATTGCCGAGGCCCAGGAGCTTGCGTTGCTTCAGCACAGCTTGGTGATTACCCTTTGCCAGCAGATGTTTAGTTTTATTTCTTACAATCTTTACCAGAGTGACCAACTTTCTCTTTTTCTTGCCTCTTTCGTCGAGGTGGCTTCTTTCCATTCAGACGATGGTCTCTTGCAACCAGGAGATCAACCTCGAAACCAAGGCTCCTCTCAAACTCGCGCAGCAAACAAACTTCAAGCTCAGAGCAGATGCTCACCACCTTTCTCATCCAAAGTAGCCTGTGCACGCCTGCTCTCGCCAAATACTCATCCACGGACTCGGGCATGTCAAAGTTGATAACATGCTGCCTTCCACTGTAGATTATAGAAGCAAACCACGCTGGCAAAAAGCCCGATTCGTCTCTTCAATGCAGTGCTGTGGCATGTCAATGTGCGCTGCAGCCACTTCAAAACCCGCACTTTCCACCCCAGAAGCAACCAGTTTCACCTGCGTACGGAGTTGCAGTACACAGTCACTGTGTCGCTCCTGGTCCGAAACAACTTCCACACTTCCCCGAGCTTGGCGAGCTTGTCACTGGCGCTCTTGACAGCTGCATAGAAGTGCTTGACTGACCTTACGGTGAAGGCTGGCCTGGCAATCCTGCTCGTCTCGCCCTTGCAGAACCTTGTGACGATATCTTCTACATCGTCTAGCGACTGGATACCGAAGGTCACGTCACGGCTCCAAAGGATGGAGCATATTGCCTCCATATGTACTTTGTGTGTGGAAACAAGCACATCCGTCTCTACGAGAACCGCTCTGTGTGGCTTCCATGTCGTGCTGGCCCCGCACAATACTTCCTGCATCCTGTCTGGAGTCCCGAGTACAATTCCGGGTGAAAGGTCGCTGGCTCGCTGAGGCAAGTCACCTTAACTTCAAACAGTCCCAGGCCGTCCACGAAGGCCTGCAACAGCTCCACAAGCTGCGGAATCCTGTGGCCTGGAGCCTGGAGCGAGAACTATTGAGGCAGTGCTTGCTGAATCGGGAATGAGACCCGGCATGAAGGCCACAATGCCAGACCAGTCCTGGCACACAACGTTGCGTCCAAACACGGAGAAATTCTGGACCGCATTGCAGAAGTACGGGTCGAGCAAACCAGAGCAACACGCTGCTTCTGAAACAATCAAAGCGAAGATACATACCTGGGAGTGACAACTCTATAGCCCAATAGCCATGGTCAACTCAACTCTATAGGATGATGCCATGGTAACCAAAGAGGAAATCCGAGAGAGAGAAAGCATCGGGCCGCTGAGCTTGCCTGCGGGATAGCACCGATTGACGAAGACATTGACAGCACCAGAAGCTCCAGCGCCGCCGCCGCCTGCCGATGGAAACACACGGGATCCTCCATCTCAGAGAGTCGCCCCCTGGGGAGTCTATGTTGAAGGGATTCGAACAAGGGAAGCCAAAGTATAATGTTTCAAGAAGGAAACAAAGGGAACACTTCAACTTGCCTCGAGAGCGATGTACTTTTGGCTTGATTCCGGAGGCGCAGTTGAAGCTGGCCAGCCTTCTCATTGAATTTTTTTCCTGTTTCTGTAGATACCCACTGATCCAGCTCTAATGCAAGAAAAGTTGTTGGTATGTATCGTTCTTAATGTTCTTAGGTCGTGAATACTTGTTTCAGGTGCTACGTTTGGACGATTTCGAAAACAACTTCTAAATCTACGCAACAAAGTATTTTCTATGGCATTTTTGGGTAAAGCCTATGGCATTGTGTTCCCTCGGTTCTACACGGCTTACTTTACACATCCCAGAGATCATCACCCAGGTAAGGCATTAGTACAGATAAATTAATGATCTTATCAGATGCGTCCAAAATTACCTGTGCAAGCAAATATTTCAGAACCAAAGAACATAAATACCAGGGATAAACCACCTTCATAGCCTTCGAATGGCCATCTCGAGATTTCCAATCTTTTGTTCTTGCTCTTTTATTCTCCTTTTAGGATGCAGCTGGGATCTTCTCTCCTCTTCTAGCTCAAGCGCAAGTTTCTCCTCGAAATCGTACTGTAAATGAAAAAAAGAAGAATTCGTTATAACCATTCCATTTGCTGCCACGTCAGTATTAGGGTCACGACCATTGGAAAAAGAAAAACAGTCCATCATCGGAAGAAAAATAAAGGATGCCTTGATGAAGAGTTCTTTGACGAAGTGCTCTAGTGAACGAGCAGCTTCGAGTACGAAGGGAAGCAAGGGAGCATCGTTGAGCAACCATGGATATTCCATGTCCTCACTGTGGCCAGCAGTTTTACCTTAGAGCAAATACCTAAGTGTTCCTTGGGTGTTTTCACTGGTGCACTCAATAACACTCCTTTGCTTCCCTTTGCTCGTTCACACGATTTAGAGCATTTCGTCCAGGAACTCTTCATCTCCTTTATTCTTCTTCACTTCACTTCCTCTTCTCTCTCCAATGGTCGTGACCCTAATACTGACATATGGCGGCAAATGGAATATTCCCTCGGTTTTACAAGCCGTACATGGATGCGCCTTCGATGACGACTGGGCAACTTTAGAAGGCCACACAACTCTTTGCGTATGCGTCGCGCCTACGTCGGAGTATACACACCCTGTGCCGAGCTTGTTCTTTTATATTGAAGAATTTGGTACAACAGGAAATTCTTTACCAACAAATTGAACTTAAATCATAGATAAGTTTTGATGGACATCTGAGGCTTTTGCAAAACCTTTCTTGTACACGAGGCTGCTACAAACCTATACATCATCACCCATAATCAGCACCCCCTCTCATTTTTTTCTTCTTTTTCCTCGCTTCCACCTCTTCAGAGATGGATGACTTTTAACGTAGCTTCCCTGTGATCTTCGCTGATACTACGACATATCCATGGCTTGCGAGTGATACTTCTCCAGCTCCGCGTTGAGCTCGTCCACAGACTTTTGCGGCCCCCGGCCAGAGGCACTAGCACCGCCGCGGCCTCGGCCCCGGCCGCGACCTCGGCCTCTTCCACCCCGGCCTGTCGCTCTTCGGACAGCGCCGGCGTTACCAGCTCGGGCACCCGCCACTCCCATCGCACTGGACAATCTAAAGCTCAGCGCCCTTGGTCTCGAGAATTGAAAAACGAATCGAGTTTGCTCTACCTTGGGAACGCCCTCTGCGGTCGAGGTGCTGGAGCAACGTAGCCATTTGTGAGCTGAGCGCCACCGCCGATCATGTCAATCACCATCGGCTTCCCGTCCAGCTGCACGTTGTTATACTGCTTCATCGCCACCAGGGCTCGCTCCTTTCTCGCAAAGTAGACCTCGGCTGTACCCTGTGACCACGCAAACACGTCAGGGATGTCTAAACCAAAAGGAAAGTGAAAAGCAAAAGCCGACCTTTGAGCGTCCAACTTTGTCGTAGTGGATGGAGCATTGCTTGAGCTCGCCAATCTCAGAGAAGAGCTCCTGCCAGTAGAAGTAGAGCGCAGTTCCTCAGTCCCGGATCAAGAGTGTCGAATAGAACACGAACCTTGATGTCGTCGTTCGAGACCCCGCTGTCTAAGTTAGAAACGTAAAGCCGGGCACCTTCGTCTAACTGCTGCCAGAGAGGAGGAACTCCACCACGGTTTAACTGTAGATACAGTGTTTCCCTCAATATATAAGCAACGCAAAACTTTTTCACGCAAAACGAAGAGAGGACTGACTCAAATCCATCATCCAGCAGAGTGAAACAACTATCCGGCCAAAGGTAAATGCATATGTAACTGTGCAGTAGAGCTGAAGGATCGACTCTAAGTAGCAAAGGAAGAAGCGTCGAGGCAGAACTTTTTTTTGTCTCGAGTTTGCCCCTTCTAGATCCATCCGTCTCAAATCCTTGACTTGGGTTTTCAGCCAACACTCCAAAACCAATCCTTTTTTCTGGCTCCCCCCCAAAAGGGTCATTCCAAAGGCAGCACACACCACGAACGACGAGAAGGGAAGGCAAAAACAAAGGAACCGAAGAAGAAGAAGACTGCTCCCCCTGTCCCAAAAGAACTACACCTATTCTAACCCCTTGAGAGGGAAAAGAAGGAAAGAAGAATGAAAGCACTGCGTTTGTTTCGGTTTTCTTGCCTTGGTGATGCCGAACGCGCCGGCGCGGTATCGCGAGCCCTTGCGGAAGAGCCCCGAAGATCTTGGACCCAGAAATGTCCCTGCTGTGCTGCTGCCTCCGCCTCTACCCTGAGCGATCTTGCCGCCTCTGCCCCTGCCGCGGCGAAGCCTGCTGCTGCCACCGCCGCGCGACGAAATCTTGCTCTTCTTCACCAGAGAATCGAGCGGCATGTCCAGTGCCTCCATCTCCCTTCTCGGACTGAAAACCCTATGGATCCAAAAAAGCTTTTAAACCCTAACTTGGACAAAGGGGATCTCACTATATAAGGGTAGATCGTGGGTTCGATTCCTCTTATAATCTAATCTCTAAGCATATTCTTGCCCGTGTCCTTAGAATCTTCTTCGCTTGAGATCTTCGTTCTCCTTTCGGAGCTTCATGAGCTTTTGTTTGAGAGCTCCCACTTGCCAGTTGGAGCTTAGATCTTGGATCTGGGCTTCTAGCCTCGTCTTTTCGAGCAGCGCTACAAATCAAAGCGCATCCAAGTCAGGAGAAAAGATCGAGAGAATCACGCTTACAATTTTGCTGCTGCTTCTCCAGTTGCTCGCTCAAGCTGTGATTCGCTTGTTTTGCGGTTTGGAGTTCCAGCTTCAAAGCTGTGATCTCACGCTGGACTGAGAAAGTGGAAAGGAAACCTCAGTCCTGGATTGAAAGAACGTAAACTTACACTCGGTTTGATCCCTTTTGCGGCGTTCTTCATGGTTTTGATTAAGAATGTCCATGCTGTCGTGGAGCTGCGCGATCTCTTGCTCCAGCTGAATCACACACGACTCTTTTGAGCGAAGCTGCTTTTCCAGGGAGCTGCGGCAAACAAAGTTTGATCACGAGATACAAACCAGAGAACGTACCTGATACGCGCGTTTAGTTCGGCTTCCATGGTCTGGAATTTTTCCTGAAGAGTCGATACAGCTCGTTCGTGCTCCTAACATATGTATCCCCACAAACGTTTGAATGTCGCGAGAATTTAATCCAGTCGAGAAAAACCTGTTGCATGGCATTGTCTTGTTCGCTTCTCAGATTAACTTCTTGCCACAAGACTTCAAACTTCGACTTGTAATCCAGCTGCTCGAAACAAAAGAAAAGAAAAACAAACAAACAAACGTTCAAATCATCACCAAAAGAGTCGAGAGAGAAAAGAAAGATCGAGAACTAACAGAAATCATCGTACCTGCTGGACAGTCTGTGCCAGAAATTCCTCCTGCGATTTCATCAGTCGAGCCTTGTCTGCCACAAGCATTTCAAGAGATCCAGTTCATTGAGATGGAAATTTCGAGAAAAAACTAAGAACGAGAACGAAAGAGGGATTTCCAGATATCTTACCCCCTTCCAGCGACGCGCACAGATTCTCGGCGGCCTGGCGGCATTGCGTCTCGGCAGCAAGAAGAGCCCTCAGCGACTCAGCCTCGGATTTGGCGTCCCTGAATTCCTGCACAAACAATCTCTCAAGAACATCGCTCGATCGATCGCATCGCATCCATCCTCTACCTCTTCCAGCGCCGCCAGATCCCGCGCCAGGACTTCCATGTCCTCCTCCGAAGGCGGCAGCATTCTTCCCTACCTACATTTGGAGCCAAAATTTCAAAAACCCTACAAGGGATTAAAGAACAAGAACCCTAAATTTTATATGTTAAAGTAATAAGAACCATAAAGTTTAAAGGAGCTATAAGCCCTAAGTTTAAAGGTAGTTTTCTATTAAGAATTTTACTCCTCTAAAAAGTTCTTTTTCTTTAAGAGGAAGGTTAATTCAAGTCAATCCCACGCCGCCGGTCCTTGAGTTCATGGACGAGCCTCGCCAGCCCTTGCTCACACAGCCTAGTTCCTAATCTCTCCAGTCTCTTCTTCTCTTGGTATCGATCAATCTTCTTCTTCACTCCCACCTCGTGTTTTTGCGAGTGATGCTGCGGCGGCTGCTGCTGCTGTGGCTGCTGCTGCTGCTGCGACTGCGTTTGATGCTGGTGGTGGTGATGCTGCTGCTGCTGCTGCTGGTGATGGCTTCCCGAGGATTTGCTCGCTCTGCTCCCGTTCGAGTACGCAACGTATTCCCTGTGCTCCAGAGTGATGGGCACCGCTTTCTTCCATAAGTTCTCCAGCGAGCTCGTAGCGTGGCTCGAGTAGTCGTGCCTGTGCCTGTGATCTGCTTGGTACTCGCTCGGGTAATGCGCGCGGGCTTCCTCGTCTGGAGAAACGAAAACAAAGCTTAAGAGACTCGAGAACTATGAAAACAAACGCGAGCGTACCTGGATCGACGAGGGGCTGGTTTAGATTTATGGTGGCTCGCCTTTCAAGCCTGTCGGGCTCTCTTCTGTCGAACCAGGAGCGGGACTTCCAAGGGACGTCGTAGTCGGATTGAGTGATCGCTGTTGGCGGCTTGAGGTTGAGCCAGTTGTTGTGAAAGGCACCCGCGTTCTGGAGGTAGTGGAGCGGGGACTGGACGAAGCCTCCGGTGAGACCAAAACTGTAGGCCGGCTGCGAGATTGCTGCCGGAGGAGGCTTGTTTAGTATCCGGTCCAACCAGTGCGGAGTATCGGAAGTGGTGGCCTTAGATCCGACGAAGGAAGGAACCGACGACGACATCCCGTTTATAAAGGTGTTCCCGACTTTGTAGTTTTCTGTCCACGACGTCGAGGAAGTACGCGGCGCCGCCGAAGAAGTTAAGCTCGTCACGACGCCAGACCCACCAGCAGCACCACCAGCAGCACCTAAAGTTGACGTCCAGTAGTCGAAAACAACCGGCTTCTTCGCGTGCTGCTCCATGTCGAGGCCGCTTCGATGGAGGGAAAATGAAGCAGCCGGAGGTGGCGGCGCAATCCCGTTCATTGCCACGCCCCGCAAGCCATCGAAGCTTGCGTGCGAGGCATTGAAAGTATCGCTGGCCGAAACGCTCGACGAAGTTTTGGCGACGAAGAAATCCGCCCCTGTGCTGAAGCTGTTGTTGTTGGCCGACGTATACAGCCCTCCAAGTGTCTCGCGGTGCTGCTCCAAGGAGCGAGGAGCATTGGGGTCACCCAGGGCAGTGGAGGTGGTAGCAGTGTTTACACCCTTCCCTTTCCTCTTCCACCTCGCAGGCGGGAGCCCCGTCTCCAAGTACTTGAATACCTCGACTTTGGAACGGAAGCGTCTGCCCGAGTACGACTCAATGTAGTACTGCCATGGAAGAAAGAACAAAGAAAAAAAGCTTTAGCACTCCAAGCAAGCTAAAGAGCACGCAAAACAATGCTACCTTATCTCTGTGACCATCGGCTCGCGTCCGACACTCGGAAATCCAGCCTTCCGGCAACCAGCTCGGGGCTGGAGCTTCGGTGATTGTTACTGCTACCGCTGGGCGCTGGTGCTCCAGATTTTTATCCTGTTCTTCCTGTTCTTCTAGACTTCCAGCTCCAGGAAGAGAAGTGGTAGTGGTGGTGAGAGTACCGGTGGCCGGGACAGCATCCTCGTCCGAGGAAGAAGGGACGTGAGCGATGTTTAAGTCGGGGATGAGAGCATCCTGGAATTCAGTGTTGACGCTACACACGGAGCTCCTCTTCCTGTGCTGCTGCTGCTGCTGCTCTACTACAGTGGCCCGAGAGGAGGAAGATATCATCCCCGATGGTGAGACGAGGCGCTCGAATCCAGCAAACCGACATGAAATCCGGGGCGAAATCTAGCAAATTTCTAGCCTGCTCTGGGAATCCCGCGGCCCACTAGGTAGGCGCGAGCGGCGCATTGCGCGCCTGGCGGTACCTGGGGGAATGCGCGTCAGCGGCGCCGCATCCACGCCATGCTCCACCTCGCGTCGCCCTGGAAACCCTAGATCCCTCCTGCGATGACTGCCAGTGACCATGATCGAGCTGATGAATGGGACACTAGAACTGTTGTGGACGGTAAGTAACTAGGAAAGTACCCAGCCCCCCCATCACTGACTGACGGAGGAATATTCTGTCACACCCTTCCCATTTGTGTGTGTGTTGGTTGTTGTTGGAACCGGAACCTGGATGGATGGATAGAATTTTATATTGTCTTCTCCTCATTTCGAAAATTATTCAAGCAAATCTAAACCGTCTAAAACATTATTTTACTTAGTGGTAGATTCAAGAGTCGTGCCAGAGGCTAGGTTAAGTATGAGTGAGGGGAGGATTGTTAAGATAAAAGGATAACAAAGAGCTTTAAAATCAAGTGAGAGTTTTTAGTGGATATATTTATTTATAGTTCAAGTATAGTGTACTAGGATTTTTATAGTTATTTATTGGTTTCAATTCAATTAAATAGGATTTTAGGCCAATTAAATATGCAAATTTTTGTATTCTATACACTTACATTGATGGAGATGAAAAACATTTCTAGTTATAGCTTTTGCATTTTTTAAATCTTTTTCATTTTTGTAGCTTTTCCATTTTTTCTCTTCTATTTTTTTTTATTATTATTCATCTTAGCATATTCTTCCTTTGCAATAACCTTTTCCTTTTTTGATTTTGGAGTAGCAATTAGTGCAATTGCTTGATGTTATGTAGTTGTAATTGAATAATTAAACTCAATTGATAGCAACATTTATGGTGCATAGTGCAATTTTTTCTAAATTTCTTTTGTGGGAATTTTAAGGATAATGTGTATTATTAGTTCGATCATTTTACAATGATTACCATTTATCATTCTTAAAATCATTTATGCAAGTTTCCCACATATTTTTAAAGGACCATATATAAGTGATTAAATTTTTCATTTTACTTTAATCATTTAACCACACTTTAGACCATTTAAAGGAGTTTTATTCACAATCCATAAGTTTTATATTGACTTAGGGATTTGTTAGTTTTGTGAATGGCCTTTATGCCACTTTATCTTTGCACTTGGTCCAAGTGCTCAATATGTCTAATTTCACAACAGACACCCAAAGTACCACTGATCTATCAATTTATTATACTAAAGTTATGTCCATTTACTTTTATCTCATTGATAGTTTAAGACCATTTATACCATAATCTTGTTTCTCAAAAACTGAACTATCTATTCATGAGTGGTCATCCTATAAACACACTTTAGCATCTTTAAAATGCTTAAAGACATAAAGAACACCCTCCCTCAATGTCCCTTCTTACCAAGTCCCTCTCTATCTATGGTCGTGTTTGCTAATGCCACCATTGGGTGAGGGCTTGGAGCCCCAACCACTAAATTCTATTAACCTTTAGGATTTCTTTATTATATGATTGTATTTTTGGTTATTACACAAAAGAATTACTTATTTTCCTTTCCACAGTTTAGAACTTTGGGACAACACTTAAAAAAATTGCAGCTTAATACAAGCCTCATGTATACTCCCCTTACCTTTTGCCTTTGGGTGCCCTAGTGTAAACAATAAAAAAGAATAACTTAAAAGACGATTTATAAAGGTTCAAATATAAAGGGAAAGGGCCCATAAATAAGGATGCACCCCCTAATTGGTTAAGGGTCTTGGGATACTTGGGTTTGAATAGTATTGGGTTGAATAACCTCCCAGAAAGTTCAAATTCAAGAGATTATACCTAGCCATGTGGTTAGAACGAGGTTTGATGAGCCATACCAGGTATTTAAATAGGTAATGCCACCCACACTTATATTGGGAGCATTGACCATTCGATCTTCTAGAGGAGCTAGAGTTGGCTTTTGAACATTTCACAAAGCTACCTTATTTGTCCACTTATATTCACTCTAGCCTTAAACTCTTTAATGATTATATCATCATCCACCACATAGATATAGCTTTTTTAAGTTATATTGACTTTTCTTGATTAAACTGATTCCACTAGAGTCCAATCTTAACACTCTCTCTACTATACTTTTAGAACTGTTGAATCCCCCCCTTTATAGGATGATCATTTTGGGCTTTCACCTTTCAATCTGTATTAGCATTCAAACTCAGTTTTGGTCTCGAACTCAGTCTATGTCTTTGCCTTGGACTCTATCTTAGACTTCTTCTTGGATTCCATCTTAGACTCCTTATCAAACTCCATCATGGACTCTTTTTTAAACTCTATTTCAGATTCCTTATCAAACTCCATCTTGGACTCCATATCAAATTCGGTCCCGACACTTTTATATATCACAAGACTTGCTATATGTCAATTCTTTTTATGTCCCTTTCTAGATATTTATTTATTGATTGTTTCATACTCATTCTTCGAGCACTTCGTTCAGAGTTCCACTCCTGCTTACGACTTTCCGAGTCGAAGCTTTTGGTCCTAATATGTTATGCCCATTGGACTTCTACTTTAACCATTGCTATATAACACACTTTCGAGCTCCATTTTGTTACTTAGAGATTTATGTCTCACAACTTCACCACTTATAGATGAAATTTGATGTCCTCATCGAACGATAAACCATTTTATAAAGTAATCCTATTATGGATTACCAATTTCATCCTTAGCACTAAGTCAATATTCATCAATAGTTCAACAGTGAAGGCTTACTATGCATTGCACATCCTTTAAGGAGCATAATTTCTTTAACATAGAGTCTCATTAAATTATATATGGTAATTCTCTCCCTTTGTTCATTTAGTTTTTACTAAACCCATTAGAAACACTTTCTCTATCTCAATTTTACTATTCATTCTAGAGTAGTCTCGGCCTCTACCAACATAACCATTGCACTTTGGAACTTTAATATTGACATTTTGAATTAATTTTCTAATAACAATTTATGGATAAGTGGAATTTAATACCTAGAGTAATACGAAATAAAGGAGAGGATAATAGTGCTCTCAAGTAAAGAACTTTCTAGAATGGGGAAATAAAGCTTGCACAACCTATACAATGCAAGGTATCATACACACTAGGCTATCTATAACCTTATCATTTGACTACCTTGGAGCTTTTATTTTTGCCAAATTAAAGCATTTTAGAATCCCATTCTTAGAAATATATTTCCTTTCCCATAATTCATTAACATCTCTTATATAGTAGTTTTTTGTCATTTAGATTTCTTCTAACAATTTCCAAAGCCCATTCTCAGCCATTAATCTTTTGTTTCTATCCTTTGATTGTTACACCAAATAACATAGAATCACTACTTTTATCATTGAGATATTCTTTTGGTTCTATAACAAAATATTTGTTTTGCTAAATCCAAAAGGTGTTCACCTTTAGTAAGTTTTTCTTGCATTTTCTGCTATAGGCACTATCCACAGCCCAACCTTGTAAGCTTTCCATAAGTCCTTAAAAATTACTTTCTTAGACTCATAATACCATTATATTATTGCAATTTATTTCACTTAGGTGTCTTTCCCATTTGGTCATCTTGACTAAGTAACACAATTACCAATAGTTCAAATCATTGCTTTAAACTAGGAAACTTATTCCTTAGCTTAATAAAGAACTTATCCTAGGATCACCTAGTGATCTCACCTAGAAACATTAATATATCTACTAATAAGTATTAGGTTTACCAAATTTTTAAATTGTTAACTATAACCCTGAGGACATCCTCACACTTGATGGTGCACCTAAATTAGCACTTCTGGCCAAGAGTCCATAACAACTAAGATTGGGTATCTCTATTTCATTCACTATATCCTCAATGCTATTTAAACTAGAGTGTTTAATTTAAATATGCCATGCTTTCACACTAAGCACATTAATTGTGCATCATAACTCTAGGGCATCCCTTGCTTTGTAGTGTGTTTAAGCTAATCTCCTTATAACCACCAAAAAAATGAATATCCTTATATTCCAAACTATCATTATACCTGAGACTTGAACCCAATCACTAAAGGGTTGGGACTCAAACCCATTTATAGCATAAATTAACTTGATAGAGAAATTAATAAATTTCAATATAATAATGTACCTATCAAGAAATAGTTTAAATACAAAAATATTTTTAAATCCAATAATGATGGGCATGGATTAGACAATATTATTGCTATAGGGTATTATTTATATTATATCTTTCATTAAATTTTTTATATATTTTTTTTCATTAAATGTTGAAAAATTATTAACTTTAAAATATATACCTCAAGCATTTTTATCATTCTCTAAATATTGAATTAAGGTGAGCATTGGTGAAATTTTATTTATAAATATTTTACCCTTGCTGAAATGGTGTGAAAAAACTTAATTAGAAAATGTGATATACATTTATATGCATAAAACATAATGAACTGAATCCTTTTATGCAATTAAATTGTTTTTTTAAAATAATTTTTTCAGGTTATTTTTTTATTTTATTCATTTATTCATTTCTTGTCTGAAATATTCACAACTATTATTATTGTAGGAACAAGGGTCACTTTGGACGCCCTCTAGCAATAACACCACCTTTCTTTTGCATAGCGTTAAATCCCAGTGACGTACCCGGCCTGGATCTTTGCTTCGCCGCTAGAGCAGCCTGGAGCACGTTGATCTCTCCCTGCTTCTTCCCGAGCTCACTTCTAGTCTCCTCCAGCTGCCTCAGAAGATCATCAACTTGGATCCTATTGCTCTTCCGCTCCGGCTCGGCCGTTCCCCAGGGCTTGCTCATCCGCTTCTCGATCTGAGACGTTGTCATCCTCCGTGTGTGATCCTGGTCTCCATGGACGATGGAGAAGCGAGAGTAAGGCTTGAGTATCTCCGAGACTGGCGTTGGAGGCCTCGCAGGTAACCGCAGCGCATCCGACTCGCGGGACAATCTTATCCTACGCTGGATCCCACTCGTGACGAAGGATGATGATCTTCGCGGCTCGGCTGTGATGATGGAGCGTCTCTTTTCCGGTGTGGATGGCCTAGACGAGCTTTGCCGGGCCCTTGCTAGCGACCTCTTTTGCATCGAAACAATACCTTTGAAGTACGCCACTTGTTGCTGCAAAGCAAAACAGGTAAGCACGCGTGAGACGAGACAACAAAAGATAAAACTGAGTATACATACTTGCAACTTCTGGACCATGAAAGCCATGCGCCTGCTATTCCGGTTGGCCTCGCAGAAATCCCGCAGGAGGTTGAGGTTCTCCTTGACGAAGTGCTGCATCTCCTCCTTGCAGCGGTCTTTGGTTCGATCGATAGTGGTCTTCAAGACCACAACAAAGTCTTCAAGAATTTGCCTGCAATGCGAAAATGTGAGAATCAAAAACCATCAACAGTCTTAGAAGTGTTATTCACCTTTGCTTCATGATCTGGGATCTGGATTCCAATCCTTCAGCCACTGCTGCCCTTTCTGATCCTTTAACGTAGGCCAGGAACAAACCTCTCGTCAGTGGAGGCCATTCCCCTGGATCGTGGTCGTGAACGATGACACACAAAGCTTCTTTGAATGCGTCTAGATACTCTTCTTTCTGCCCGAGTTGATGGAGAAGCCGGAAAACACGTTGCTCCAGATCTTGTATCCGCTCCGTGAGCAATCTGGCAGCCTCTTCTTGTGCGAGCCTGTGTTTCACATCCAGCGACTCACGAGCTTGCATCTCTTGAATTTTAGATTTGTATTGAGAAAGCTCAGCGACAAGCGGCTTCTCACGCTCAACAAGCTGAAATAGAAAAACGCACAAACTTAGCACAAACTCCAGCGAGTTTTACCTGCTGGATTTTGGAGTGCTGCAGTACTGCCAATGTTTCTCTTTCTTTAGTCGCATGCAGCAACGCCTTTCGGTGCTCATCAGCCTCCTCCACTAGTTTATCCAGGATCCGCTTCTTGTAGTCAAATTCCAGAGCGAAGTTCTCGAGCCTCGCCTTCTCAATCTCGAGGTGCCGTATGTTTGAATCTTGTGCCGTGCAGAGAGTTGACAGTTCCGTAATTTGCAGCTGATACGAGGTGGCAGCTTTCTTCTCCAACAACATCTGTGCTCTTGCATCATCAATGTGTTTTTGCTGCGCCTGCATTGCTTGCTTCATCTGTGAAAACCCGACCACCAGCTCCTCGTCGTTAATCAAGAGGTCTTCGTCCATATACGTCTGCACAGACCCAATCAATAAACGCAAAGGGATGCGCCATTTCCTACCTTGTATTTCCTGATCTCTCTCTCACAGTCTTCCTGCAACTTCTGCATCCTTGTTCGAGAGTGGCTTTCTATTTTGTCTATCTGACTTTGCAAGCCCAACACCTCCGTAGTGTGCACCTTCTCTTTGTGTTCTATCTCTTTGACGCAGCTCTCCTTCACTTGCTCTGCTTTTGTTCTCCAGTGTTCCGCTCTAGCTGTTTCTCCGGTAAACTGGAACACAAGACGCGTGAGGTAGCCGAAGATCTGACCAATAGTGTTACCTTTTCTTCAAAATGCTCGTACAAGGTTCCCATTGCCTGGCTTTGGGATTCCAAGAACGTTTGAGTTGTATGTTCCAAGTTTTTCTCTGCAGCTTCCAGTTTCTCCTTTAGAGTTTGCATTTCCAATACAAGCTCCCTCTCTCTTTTTGCATGCTCTTTCTCCTTCTCTTTTATCTTAGCAGCCCAATCTTGCCGAATCCTGTGCTGCCTATACTGGGACTCATCTTGCTCAGCTTGCAAGCTTGATTTCAGGTTCTACAAACAACAAAAGTTAACAGTTAAAAGTTTGTGAAAGAAAACTATAAATAAATAAAAATCTTCACCTGGGCTTCTTCCCCGGCTTCTTCCAGCTCACTGCGCCTAATAAGCAACCAGTTCTCAATTTCGCCTTCTTCATTTTGGTCAGTGAAGAAATCAAGCAAACTAGTCGGTCTTTCAGCAGAAATCTTGCCATCATCCAAAGTACAAATAAATATAGTGCCTTTTGTGGAACGAATAAACACAATGTTATGCGTTTCGTCAACACACATTGCAGCAATCCGACCTGGTAAGAATGCACAGATGAGCTGGGAAACTATATCGTCAAAATTCAGTCACCATACCTGACTGCTGTGGAAACTTCATAAGAGGAGAAGTCTTGTTGCTCGCAAAAGGATAAGCGTAACCATGCAGCTCTTGCGTAT